ACAAATCGCTCAACTAAGTATTGGAAGTAAGAAGCAGATGCTGTGGAAATATATGCTTAATGAGAGTAAACCAACCTTACAACTTTTGCTTTCAAGTTAAATCATACCTCTATAGGCTAACTAATGTGTACAACTGGACGGGGTTTATGGTGCCCTTGGTTCACCATGCAACAAAAGAGAAGTTTCATACAGAAGATACATGTTGTTAAACTGATGTTTCGTTTCCAGAAACTGCTCGTCTGTGTACATGAAAAAGATGATGGGTAGATTTCAGTTCACAACTATTTAGTAACCAAATTGCCAAAAAACAGAAAACTATAATCTGACTGATATTTTCGCTTTGGTAAGGACAACATCTGCCGTGGCTCATAACACAAACACTTTGTAACAGCAGAACCGGTTACCATCCTTGATCCATCCTTGGTCCAGGGGTCCAGTCCAGAGACTGCTTAGCTTAAGTGAAGTTTAGCAGACAGCTAGCAGTTACAGCTGTCTGTGTCTTTACCTACTTGTCAGTCAAAGAGGCCACGCCCCTATTTTTAAAAAACAGCTAATTTTTAATACAAGCGTTATAAGACATGTACCTCCACCCCCATAAGGCTGTTAGAAAGAGGTAAATTAAACAGGTTATAAACATGTTTATTTTGCAGTAAATCTGGACATTTTAAGTTTGAAGCCAGGCTCAAGTGAACATTAGAGGAATGTCTGCTTGTGGAAAACCTGCATTAAAGAGTGTTGTGTTGTTTTCTACCTGACCACAGTGGGGAACAGTTCAATGCTGTACAGAGTGGAGATAAAGATGGCAGCCAGGACGCAGAGTTTCCCCAACAGAGCCAGACTCATAACCAGCATCGGCGTACCTGCATCAGAGTACCAGTCTCAGAGATGGTGGTCAGATTTGATTGGAGGCTGCAAACTGCATATAGAATGATTCCACCTACTCCCACTAATGTTATGTTTTTTTCTACCAATATTAAATACCAGTATTTTCTCCCACTAAAAATATTGATTAAATAGATTAAATAAATCGACTGCCTGGGACAAAGAGCAACTGTCATCAAGAGCTTTTAACACAGTCTCCTATTGTGGCGTTCAAGAATAGAATCCTAAGAACAGATGCTTTTCTAATGTTTTTATTTAATGTTGTGTTCATTTTAGTTTAATTTAATTTAATATTTAATGTCTCTTAAAAGTGATTATGAACTAACCTAAAATACTGAAAATGCGGAGGACTCACCATTGTACCTGGACAGGAGTAACGACACGAAGCAGGCAGCTCCACTGAGGAACAGAGCGAGCATGCTCATTGGCCGGCGTCCCAGACGAACCAATGGGACAAGCAAGCAGGGAGCTTCTGATAGCCCGGAAAAGAACTGGGCGGAGTAAACGCCAACACCGAATGAGCCGATGTTCAAACAAATTCCATAGTATGTCAAAGCTGATGCCGCACTGGAGGATGACAGGACATTTATTTATGTATTTATTCATTTATTTTATTATGGTTTTAATTTACCAATATTTTGTTTTGTGAATTTTAATTTTTGCATTTTTATTATTATTTATTTTCCTTTTATTTTATTTTCCTTTATTTTGTTTGATGGATTTGCATTTATTTTATTTATTTCACCTTATTTATTTATTTTATTGTATTTATTTTACCAGTATTTTGTTTTGT